GTCAGTACAGCCTCCTATCCGCCATGTATTGAAAGGACATGTAACTAATTTGCAAGAAGGATAAGTAAAAGAAGTAAGGCTACTGGAATGTATGCGCCACTTAGTGTTCTCATTAATTATCGAAATTCGATTGTGTTCCCTCTCCACGCCCCGGTGAGTCAGCAGCAACGCCAAATGAACTGCACATATGTTAACGCATTGATGCGATTTCAGGTCCCCGCCCTCTACCAACAGCTCCTAGCCAGGGATATTCTTACTGTTTGTATCTCTGAAATTTCTACAACACTTAATGGACCGAAATATTCCCGTTTGGATATTTTTTCAGATTTCTTATGTATTTTGACGAATATTTCTCTTGTTTTGATTACTAATTAAGCGGTGATTCACAATACTAATCAACATTTTTGCTTTATCACTATTCCAATTACAAATTGTAGAACAGCAGCAGCAGGATTAAGAGGGTTATCAGTGGGAAAATCTCGGGGTATTGCTTGAACTTAATCATGGACTGCTTAAAATCCGTACGAACAATCCGCGTAAAACCCTAGGTTTTACAAAGTACCAGGCATACGTGGAATACTTGGATCAGTTAGTATGTCTTACTACCTATTTAGCTGACAATTTTTCCAGTTGCTTTGACCAATGCTGCATTGTCTAGTGGTCACAGGCGAGTCCAGGGCAAGGCCCCTTTCAGCGGCAGAGGCACCAGTGCTGCAAAAGTCCGGGTCTAAAGCTAAAACTAAAGTAAACTAAAGCCTAAAGTAACTCTTAACCAAAATAACCCTAAGTAGCACTGTTACAACTCTATTCCTAGTTTTTGCATAGTTCCAGAGTAGAAGGGGATTCTCTTTCCCACCCCCATCGCCTCCCCTCTCCCTCTCCTTCCCCACCTACCGTCGCCCCTCCCACCATTTCCCCTCAGAAGTCCGTCCTGGATTCGCCTATGGCCCAGTGAGATATTCTGATAAAGTTTCAGTGAAATGTACCAAGATTAGCAAAATGAATGCATTCCTTACCATTACTTGATTATACTCGAGATTATTGTAAATTTTCTCGCTTCCAATTCGTAGCGGTACTTCCGCGGTTGCTCCAGCCAACTCTGAGACTGCTTTTTCGAGGGCTATTCGTTCGGGGCTGCCTTTTTTGTAGGTTAAAACTGGCTCATTCTGCGGTTGCTTCATGAATTTCTCTGATGTTAAACCCGTTCCGCTGGAAAAAAAAATAATACACTGCTAAACTGATACGACAAAAAATTTTGAAATTCTTTAAGATTTTCAATTTCTTTATGATTTTCAAAAAATTCTTCGAGATTTTCAATTTTAATTACACTTAATTTCGAGTTTTACCTCAAACACCCTCGATTTTTTCAATTAAACTCAATTTCGAGTTCTACCTCACACACCCTCAATATTTTCATTTATCCTCAATTTTGAGTTCTTTCTTTTCAATCAAAAAAAAGTTCTTCGAATTCACTTTCTGCTACAGTTGGAAATACCCAGAAGTAGCCCGAGTGATAGCACGTGTCAAATGTCATAAAGTGAGCCCCTTTTTTTGCAAATCAGTATAAATCCCACTTATTTTCTCTATCTACAGATTCTTAGAATCGTGACATGCTATCCATTACACTGGTGGCCACCGGGCAATCATCCTGCAGATACTCACTGAGAGTCACATTAGCGGAATT